AGAGCCTCCGGTAATAGAGCTTAAGCAGCTCGGGCAGCTCGGCAGGGTCGAACATCTCCTCACAGCGCGGAACTCGGCCCAGGTAGACACACCCCGAGAAGTTGGCGGGAATAACTCCGACGGAGCCTCCCAACTGCGCAGGCGCGTCGTTGCCTCGGCCCGGCATCTGCGGGGGCTGCCGGGAGTTGTAGTTTTCACTCGGGATTCTCCAGGCTGCCAGAAGGGCGGGGTGGGAAGTCTGGGCCACACTGGGACACTAGGTCCTCCTGTCTTGTGGGGCCAGGAAGGCTGAATCCATTCTAGGAAGACCCTCTTCTCTGCAAAGGTGGGATCTGTAGCATGTTGACTTTGTCTATTAACATGAAATAAGGGGTCAGAAGGGGGTGTCTGGATAAACAAATGGGTGAGTGCAGGAGTCAGGGGTCCTGGAGTCAGGACCGGTGGGTTGAAACTAGCACTGGACACTTGTGCCTGTGTGCCCAAAATATGGAGAAAAATAGAGGAGAAGGGAATGTGGGTGGCCATCCCTCTGAGGGTGATTTATCACTTTCTCTCTCTCTGGTGAGGGCAGACACCCTATTTTTTTGGGAAACCAGTAGGTGGCATAATGGTTACATTACTGGGCTCCCATGTAGTCTACCACAGTTGGAGTCCTGGGCCTGGGGGGTTAAAACTCACCCTGGGCACGTGTGCATGTGTGCCCAAAATCCCACGAGAAGAATGGTGGAAAAGGGATTGCAGTGTGGCTATCCTCCCTGGGGAGTGGTTTCTTGCTTTCTGTCTCTCTGGGGAGCACATGTTCCTATACCAAAACCTCTCTCTAAAAAAAGAAAAAAGGGGACCAGCAGATGGCTTAATGGCTACGTTACTGGACTTCCATGTAGCTGACCACGGTTCGAGTCCTGGACCCAGTGGGTGCATGTGCATGCGTGCCCACAATCCCTAGAGGAGATGGAGGAGAAGGGATTGCGGCTTAATCATAACCCCTGGGGGGGTGGTGGTGGTGGTGGTGGTGATTTCTCGCTTTCTGTCTCTCTGTCTTTCTGGCAAGAGCATGTGACCTATAGCAAAAACCTCTCAAAATTTTTTTTTATTCTTTATAACAACTGTGTGTAGTAGGTACTAACATTATCCCTATCTTACTGATGGGTAGATAAGCACAGAATTTAAGTAATTTGTCCAAAGTCATGCAGGTAGTAAGTGGGAGAGACATCAAGTCCTGAATCATACAGCTTAAATCAGTCTTTGTGATAGCTTGTAATTTACACGCTGTATCTTTGTAAGGAGGAGTCGTGAGGGTTAAATGAGATATACCAAGGAGTGCCTGACACACATAGTCAGTAATCCAGACCATTCAATGAGAGAAAATATTCTTTAAAAGTTCTCCAGTTTATCCCCAGTCACTGAGCCGCCGCCGAGGACTCAGCAGCCTCCCCCCTCGAGCCCCCTCGCTTCCCGACGCCCCGTCCCCCCCGCCCGCCTCCTC